CACTAAACAACCCTGGAATCTGCTCATGGATTATGAACCTATGTGGTAAAAGCTCACACTAAAAACCCATCAAAATACCAAATGTAGTCAGATTTGGAGGACAATTTTTTGAAATTCTGTTTCAAATCTGGAGGTTTTGTAAACATCTTTTGAGAAAGTAACTTGTAATCAAGTTGTGAAATACTAGTTAATATATGATTTGTCTGCCTTTCAAGTTAACGACTCTACAGAATCGGCATTTTTAACGGTGGTAAATGATCTGTTACTTGTGTTGGACTGACTCAATCTCTGTTCTCTTGTTATTAGACCTTAGCGCTGTGGTTGAAACAGTGGACCACAAAATACTTAAGAACAGGCTTATGAAACACTATGTCATCTCAGGTGTGTCAACAGTTGAGACCATACTTTCCAGAAAGATCTCAATATATGCTTTAAATTATTTTCTGTGTCGTGCACTATTAAGTATGAAGTCTACATGCAATGATCGGGGAACATTCTTAATTTCATTGTACCTGTGATAATGACAATAAAGTTTCTGATCTGATTGATCTGATTGATCTGATTACAAGGGTCAGTCCCTGGCCCACTTTTATTTTCAATAATATGCAGCACCAGTGGGTTAAACTCAGCTAAAACTGAGATGTCAGTGACTGGAATGGCAAGAGTGAGTCATAAGTATGACCAGTTGTCTTTGTGTTTTGATGACTGTGTGATCCACTGAGGATTTGGTAAGAATCTTGTTGTTTTTTGATCAGAGCCTTTAATTTGCCTTTTAATTTGGTGAGAAAAATGGCTACAATCAGACATATGATGGCGCTCAAGGACGCCAAGGTTCTAGTTCATGTCTTTGTGACATCTTGCATCATAGCAATGCTTTACTGTGAGGTTTGCCCAAGAAAATCTTTAGAGGTCTGCAGTTGGTTCATATTGCAGCACCATGGATTTTGTACTGCTGCAGTCTTATAAAATATTAACTAGCAGAGCACCAAGCTACCCGAGTGATCTCGTGAGACCATATGTACCTATAGGTCCCCTACACTCTCAGGGGAGTGGTGTCCTGAAGGTCCCAAAGGTTAAGAAAACAACATATTTTTATATCATGCCCTAACATTATGGAAAAGCCTTCTGTCTGACATTAGACTGTCAAGTTCAACTGACACCTGTTTTCTATTGTATGTAGTTCTTGGGGTATTATTGTCTTTTTGTTTATTTATGCTTCAGTTATGGATTATGGTGTTTTAATTATTTATTACTGCGTTTGCTTTTAGCTTTGTTTATTCTTGGCTTTGGAAAGGACTTTTTATGAAAGTGCTCTAAACATTATCATTACTATTAGGGCTGTGCGATATGACACAAAATCTCATATCCCGATATAAGACATCTATCGTCCGAAACGATATAAA